TTATTAGGACTTTATTAAAATTCACGTTTAATTAACGGTAATGCTAAATTTCATTTAGTATCACGTAACACAATTTTGAAAATTTTCGATAATCTATTTAACGTTGATTATTTAACATTGATTTTGGTTTTTCGAATTTCGAAAAAAAAAAAACAATGATTCTTATTAAACTTCTAACATCCCGAAATATACATAGATTACGTGCATCGAGTTCCCATTCGATGCAATTAGGAATGCCTTGCCTTTGTAAATTTTCTTTATTTACGATGTCAAAAAATGATGATAAAGGATCGATTTTCTCGAAACCTCAAAATACAAAAAGTAAAAAATACGGAGAGACTTTATTATTGCCAAAAACAAATTTTCCACTTAGGGCTGATGCTGTGAACAGAGAACATTTGTTTCGTGATAGATGTACAAAGGATTTATATTCTTGGCAGGTAAATATCTCATACTTTATACTTGATCTTTTTTTTCGAGCAAGATTTTCTTTTATTTACTTCTTTATCGGTGTAGTTAAAGAATAATTCAAATCGTTTATTTATCTTACATGATGGTCCACCTTATGCCAATGGGAATTTACATATAGGTACGATTCAAATTTGAAGCCAATTACTTTTTATTTTTGTGTAATCAATTCTTTGGTTACTAAGTGAACTCATTTTTACAACTTACTTTAGGTCATGCGCTAAATAAAATTTTAAAAGATATAATAAATCGATATAAAATATTAAATGGTCATAAAGTTGTGTAAGTTTTCCATATTTGTGGCCTTTAATCTTACCCTCAACTGCAAAAAGGATTTTCATATTTTGTTGTATTAGTTTTATTCCGGGATGGGACTGTCATGGATTGCCAATAGAATTAAAAGCTTTATCAGAATTAAAGGTACTTATATCATTTCTTTATCCACTTCAAAGTATTTCATATTGATTAAAACTAATGATCAATCTATAAAAACTTAAAGTACATGATTATTTGTCATTGTAATAGAATGTAGATAAATCATCCTTACCTCCCATGCAAATACGTTCCACTGCAAGAAAATGCGCATTGAGTACAATCGAAATCCAAAAATCTGAATTTATGAGTTGGGCAATTATGGGTGATTGGGATAATCCTTATAAGACTCTTGGTTAGTGTAACCTCCTCTGTTTAAATTTAGCTAGAATTTTATATTATTTATTCACACTTTGTTTCTTATCTGTGAATTAAAGACAAGGAGTATGAAGTTAGACAGTTAAAACTTTTTCATGAGATGGTGAAAAAAGGTTTGTTCTGGTGATCTTGTGTGATCTTGTGTTTGGAATGTATTATTGAGTTGAATTGATTAAAGAGATATTTCATCTAATGTAGGATATATATATAGACAAAATAAACCTGTTTATTGGTCTCCATCTTCAAGGTAATATTTGTATAAAAATATATATATGTATGATCAAATAAACTTGTCTAAAATTATTTAAGCAAATATTTAGAACAGCCTTAGCTGAAGCTGAATTAGAGTATCAGAATGATCATAAAAGTCGATCGGTTTATGTGAAATTTCCTCTGGTAAAGTCATGTAAGTTTTACACAGTAAATGTTCATTATGAAGTTTTATAGATTGTATAACCATCAACTGTTATATATATATATCTTAAAAAACCTATTTTTTTTCGTAGCATTAAATTTGCCAAATTTTAATGATGCTGATGTTTATATTATGATATGGACGACGACTCCATGGACACTTCCAGCAAATCGGGTTTGTTCGCTTATCTAAATCTTTGATATAATGAACTTCGATTTTTATTACACAATAACTAACTTTAAAATGGCTTATTAGGCGGTTGCAATTAATTCACAAACAGAATACTCGATAGTTAGTCCTATCTTTGATTCGGAATTTTCACAGCGTAAAGATTATTATATTGTAGCAAATAAAAGGATAGATGCATTGCAAAAGATCATTGGATCAGAATTGAGCATTAAAGCTACTTTTGAGGGTATCTTTACAACTTATTAATAT